GGTTTTTACCTTCGACACTAATGACTTGAGACTTGAAATAGCCCTAGTCAGAGCATAAGAAGTGTGGTTGAACAAAAAACTTACCTTGAAAAGCTACTGGGAAAGGAGGGCTTTGCAGTGGGCGTGGTTGTAAGTAGGCCGAGGGGATTGCAGCCGACTGAGCAATCACGCCCACTTCAAAGCCGTTCAGCTCCCTTCATAGCGACTTTCTAAGGATAGCTTTTTGTTCAGTCACACTTCCTATGTACTTGACTAGGGCTAGCGCATCGATCCACACCATTACTGTTGAAGGTAAACCCTGCTGGGACTGTTGCTTCGAACTCTTGAACTGATTTATCCCTGCCTGAGGGGTTTTAAAAGCGGTTATGTTACATTATTTTTGAGCTGAAACTGCATCCAGAAAATCTCGCGTGGCATAGCATAAAGGCGATCTTCAAAGGCACATGACGGGTTTTCAAAATTACTTGATATGGTCGAATAAATGAGTAATATCATCGAACCAATCAGGCGGACCACGAGCCATAGCTTCTAGCGAGCACTTCCCAGATGAATATTTGATTCGCCATTTTGGTGCAATATTTTCTATACGCCCTCTTCAGTTTTGTGATGACAGCGAAGGAGGGACATCTGCCCGGTCGTTTCAGCTGTCGACCCTGTGTTAACGACTCCCCCCCCCGTCTCCCACCGGGAATAACACGATCGCCTGTCGAGGATTTCTCGATCTTTTCCACCCTTCTCGCCACCGTGACCGTTTCTGTATCACGCGTTTCTGAGACACCTTCGTGAAGTGGCCCTGCCTTCGAGGGCGATGGAGAGGAGCTGAGGCTAGGGGAGTCGGGGAGGTTGTCAAACTCTATCACAATGGAGAAGACATCAAGCGGAACGGCGTGCGCATAGCAGTAGCGGGGTCCCTCGAGGACCATACCTTCACTGTGAACAGGATCAGCGATCGAGTCATAGCTGTGAGAATAGACACCAAGAAGGGGTACTGGTAAATAGTGTCCGTGTACGCACGGATCGCTCCCGAAGTTGTAACCTTACCATAGCACGTGGTCTGAATGACCACGTCGGGTGACAGAAGGGGCCTGGAAAGAGTGCACGGAGGTGCAGGGATAGAAGTGAGAAATACAGAGGGGGAGAGAGTTTTGAACGTGGCCACATCTTACGATCTGGTATTCTGTAGCAGGTTCTTCGCGAAAAGTGCGACCCAAAAAGTAACCTATAGCAGAGGTGGAAACCAAAAAGAAGTTGAACATGTGCTCGTGAGAAGAGCATCCCTCGGTACTGTGGACATTAAGGTACTCCCTGGCGAAGAATTGGTTTCACAGCACAAGCCCCTGCTGACAGACATTGCCATAGATCTCCCCAAGAGCATAGGGATAACGACCGAGGGAAGAATACGGTGGTGGAAGTTGCACCAAGCAGAGAAAAACCACCTCGATAATCGAAAATGCTCTCCCGAATTCTGAAGGGTCAGAGCAGCGAAATTGGGTAGCGCGGCTGAGATCATCTCAGAGTGCGCCAGGGGAGTATTGGGCGAGACGCGAGGTGGATTCAGAGGATACGGTGGCATGGTTCTGGAACGAAGAAGTCCAGCAGTCGTAAAAAGAAGGAAGCATACAAGCGCTGGCAGAGGGCACGGAGCTCTAAGGACCTCGCTGCCTACAAGAGTTCAGGAGGTCTGTTAAGCTGTCGTAGCCAAGGCGAAGAACACGGAGATAGACGCCTTGTACGAAAATTTGGGAAGCAGAAATGCAGACAAGTTCGTCTTCAGGCTCGCTAAAGCCCGACATTGGGCTACCCAAGACATCAGGTGATAAAGTGTGTAAAGGGCAGCAACGGCGTCATACTGAGGAAGCCTGCAGTCAACAGGAGGTTGGAGGAGTACATCTGGCAGCTCCTGAACGAGGAATCCCCTCACAATAGCAACCCGCAAGTCGAGGCGGGGTTGACATCACTCTACCCTGGACTGAGGACGACGTCAGGCGGGGAGTAAAGGAGATGAAAGCCGGAAAGGCAGTAGAATAAGTAATATGAAGTTGGGAATGCGACCTCCTCCCTTACCCCGACCACCACCCTCCACCGTGGCTGTATCCGTATTTGATTCTGAGACCAGCCGTCACACTTCGACTCCGCAGACTTCTCTCCAAAACGGCCTTCGAGCGGGGAGGAGGTAAATTTGATCACTGAAGCGGCAAATCCTCTAATATGTGTAATACACTGGTGTGCAAAACTTCAGGACGGGAGTAATTTTCGCATGATTTCTTACTGCTAACTAATCTAAGACCATGAATTTGGACACACATTGAAGGAAATGTTACAGCTTAGTGCAGAGGGTTACTGATAGAACGCAACGATTGGAAAAGACACCTTTTTTCAAAGACAGCGACTTAAGCGGTTACGGGTGAAGCTATTCCAACTCATAGCGAACCTTCAGAAGAGGAGCTGCTCCTTGTTCGAGTGTGTGAACACTATGGACTGCAAAGCATGCTGTGCTACGTGCTTCCAAAACAGCCAGGTCAACAATTCTCGTAGGGAAACGTTCCATCTCTCGAACATCCTGAATGAAAATTGCTGGGTGTTATTGGCCAATGCTAGTGCGCTAAAATAGCTCTCCTAAATGCATGCACATGTGCTCCATAGGAATAGAGTGGGGGAAGCGGACAGGCTCAGTTGATCGCCGAAGATCCTAGCGTTCCAAGAGTTTCCTCCTATGCTGCTCGATGCGCACCTTGTCTTGTCACAAATGAAATTGGGATCAAACGCTCCACTGAAAAGATACACGTAAGGGAGGAGTACAGCATCACAATAACCTCAATCAGAAAGCATACGCGCTCACGAATTGGGAAGTAAGTATGCCCCTGCAGCTTCATGCCTCCCCACACCATGTCGAATGGACTATCAAAACAATAATTTTTGACCTGTCCTGGGTGCAATACATCTTCTTATTCTCGCTATATGTGTGTAAGTCCAGAATCACTACCCACACTCAATTTGCTCTAAACTGATAAGAGCACGCGTTCCTCTCAATTGGTGGTCTATTTTCAATGTCTCGGTACTTAACAAATGTTCCCGCTGATTCGCGGGTTTCAAAGGAACACCAAGCACTGCTGGTCAGCCAGAGGGGCTATCCGTATGCGATCACCGTGCCACTGTTCAAGCTTGGATCACGTGCCTTACAATCCTGGTAACTGTTTTTGCAACTGCAGCACGTGGCTGAGGTGGCCCCATTTTTGCCTTTTGTGAAGCGTAGCAATCGCCTGCGGCGGCGGTTGTTCGTGATCCACCATCTCCTCCTCTGTGGACAACAGTGGCTGTGGGTCATTTGCTCCCCATGCGTATAAAACAGTGCTATGAGCAACACCAAATTCCAGGACCACACTCGTAACACCTCTTCCTTCTTCCAGTTTCCCAGTGATTCTTCCTCGCTTGAAGTAATGCCAATGCTGCCTCCGAGACTTGCTGTATCGAAAACACCTCTAAACTTCACAATAACTTATCCCTTGTCAGTAAACTCCCTCTTATCCTGTGCTATTAAACCCCTCGTTCTGCGTGGCCAGTCCCTTTTGGCTCCGCATTAAAGCGGTCCGCATGATACATTAGACCCACTTTGTTGTGCACCATTGCAAGACCCTTAGCATCGTGCTCCCGGAGTTTCATCCAGTTCCATTAGGATATTGATGAGTCATGCCATTTGATCCACTTCGTCCTTAAGTTTTGCACACCAGTGTATTTCATCCTCGTTCCACAAACTTTTTTCAAAAATCACCAGCACCCGTCAAAAACAACTCTCAATTCAAGGAAGCGACCCTTTCGAGTTACGCAAATAAGACTCCCTCGTTCCAATAGTGCGAACGGGCGGGAGCATCCATGCTCGTTAGAAACTTATGGATCTATGATAGATGCGCAAACGTGCTAACAAAAGCGGCTCTATAGCAAACACTAATGGCTAATGCTAGAAAAACCTATTTCCCTACCATGGAGATCAAATCAGCTTTTTTTCAGAAATTCAGGCAACTCACTTCAAAGTAACATTACTTCACACGGCGTGGTTGAAGCAAAGCTGCTCGTATGAGACGACTGTTCTGCGATGATTTGTTATCTGAAAATTATAGTGAGCTGAAAGTAAATAACGATATGACAGCTGGAGACCACACTAAGATCAATCGTACAATGCGCAGTTCTCAACGGAGGGAGGGGGAGGGGGTGTATCTGAATCACTAGAAAGGGGTTGTAGTTAGGGTAGGCAAAGGGTAGAAGGTTGGAAAAGGTATCGTATTTTTTCTGAAGATTGAAAGTGTCGAGGATGCGAGAGAGGGAATCACTGACGGGGTTATTGACGATCCCCTCCTCAGCTTAACTACCGTTTTGGAGTAAAATGTGGGCGGGGTTGGACTGGTTGTAGAATCAAATGGTGGAAGCATGATGGTGGTGGTGATCTTATAGTTAGGTAGGAGTCCCCTCTAAAAGGGTGGAGGGATATAGAATTTCCAGAGTAGGGACAACGGAATTTCGACCATTAACCACAATCTTTCACTTTCCTCGGCAAAATCGAGTGGCAACGACGGGTACCCGACAGGAGGCCCTTCGCGTGGCGAAAAGGCAGAGACGCAGACGAGTCGGCGGATGGGTGGCACCTCGTTTTGTGTGGTGTGAGAGGTATTATAGTGCATTCTATTTAAATTGAGGCGACGACTTGTCCACTAACCCATGCGTCTCTGCCTTCTCGCCGCGCCACGGGCGTCTTATCAGATGCCTGACAATGGAAAGACTGCATGGCGAAGTAGTGACTATGAGCATTTAGTAATTCTTCGATAATTTTGTTCTTCGGAACTTTGATTATTCAATAAGAAACGAAGTGTTGAAGTGTTTATTTCGCCTACTATGGATATTCTAGCTTTCAGATCTGCAAAAAAATTGTGCATGTAAACTATGACATATTTTAAGAAATTAACGTAAAACTGTAAAGTTGCAAATATAAGATTCGTCATTGAAATGTTTCATGTGTTGTTGTCATGGCCGTTCTTTGGAATCTCTATAGAGAGGTTACCATCGTTGTCAATTTGGGAATATGCGACATCCAGATCACAGTCTTTGGGAAGGGTCCATCTGCTTACGAAGCTCCTAAAAATTAGCTGTACGGGCGAGATTGGAAATGAGGAAGTGAATATCAATAGGAATCACTTCCTGATATGACCGTGATCGGTCTTCATCTCTCCGTGGCCATGGATGAGAAGGTTATGGCCTTCCACCTGCACCTTCAAGTCATCTAATCTTAATTGCGATACATCCATCACCACGGCGAACTTCTTATCATCATTGACGAGCTCCAAAAGGGTAATGGTAAAATTTAATGATGGTTCAATGTACACTTCGATAAATTATTACCTCTTTAGTTTGATTTTCCATATGGAACGTGGAATGATTGGTACCCACAGAGAACAACATAACATGACGTCCGGCCCAAGCCATGTCACGTCGGAGCGAATAAGTCCAATCGGCGGAACAACTCGTCCAACATGCTATCAACGCAGTCCACCATAAGTTCATGATTTTGTTAACCCAACCTTAAAAATTACAGCATCAAGATCACATGAAATGCGGCAAATGTGGCCAACAAATTGGAATTTGGAGCACCCTCCTCTGCACTTTTCACTGAAAGAGTATCCTATTGGGTCAAATCCGTCTCACATAGATTTTTCGCACGTGTTCAATGGCTCGGGTTCCCGACAGGAGGCCCGTCGCGCGGCAAGTAGGCAGAGGCAGCGGACGAATCGCAGCGCATGGTGTAGTGATTTCGCGTCAAATTAAAGGAAGGGATTACGATAAAGAGGGAGCGCATTGGTAAAGCATGTGCACCACACGAATCAGTTACTTGGTCGCCAGGGAAGCGACATGTCACATGCGCTTTCACAACGAAAGGTGCGCTGATTGCTGAGCAGCACTTCGAAAGCGCCCCGCCCCCAAAAGCGACCCGCCCACTCTTTTACTTGTGATTTAACGAGCTGCGTGTCCAGCAGCGGCGCAAATGAAGCATCTTGACTGAAGCGAATTTTGGCATGGTGCCATAAAACGCGATGCGGTGAACTCGCTCACACCTCCAGGTTCGGAACTGTTACCTGCTCATGAGTGAAAACCAACGGTCAAAAAAGGTGGTCCCGCTTCGCGTTTTCTTGACGGATTTTCCTGCTTTCTTCGCTACTGGCGTACCACTCAGCACCACCACGTCACATTAAATCCTTCTTGAATTTATCGTTATCACTGCCTTTAAGTAGAATGTGCCACTGTACATACGTCCTACACCCATCACACCGTGCAACTCGTCCGCCGACTCTGCCTTCTTGCTGCGCCACGGACCTCCTGTTGGGCACCTCAATGACTCGCACACACCCTGGACCCCTTCCTTCTTACCATCCCATCCCATGCATTGGTTCAGACACAAATGTCCACCCCACAGACTCAGAGTCGTTTTTTCACCATTCAAAGCCGATTCAGCTGACCTATCTTCCCCTCCGCTCTTTGCATTGGCGTTATAATGTAGAGCACAATGGAGTCCCCCTCCCTCTTGAAAGTTAACCAAATCCTCGAAAAATCTCCAGTTAATGCGACCACTTTCCCTCCCTCACATTCCGATGTATGGTCGCCAGGATCTAGCGGTCTGAGTGGTATTGGACAAGACAAAAGCGGATTTTGGAGATAAGACAGCATGGTTCTGGATCGAAGAAAAACAAACTTCCCGTTCCAACACCTAGGACAAGTAAGGAGCAAGGCTTTACACTTCTAGGGCAGTTACTGAATATTCCAAATTGTTCAGAAAATTTGCTGTAACTAAAAATACAGCACAATTCAAAAACATCTCCCGGCGTTGTCTGAAATGAGGACATTTTGTTACCCAGTCGGCAGGGAAGCTTTCTTCGCTCGTGTTTGCTACCTCACACATATTATCACGTTTTATCCACAATTCATTCTGCTGTTAGCTTCAAATCCTTGTACTCTTGTGCTATGAAGTACTATCTTGGTATTTTTTTTCGTTGGCTTTGAAGTTGTGCTTATTCCATGTGACCGACACATGCAATAAATAAATGAATAAGAACTTCACCGGATTATCAAGCAGAAAAAGGAGACCCAAAGCCCGGAAGACCTCGCTGTCTAAAAAACCTGCAGGCGACTTGCCAAGGCTTTTGTCGCAAAGGCCGAGAACACTGAGATCAACCCCTCGTACGAGAAGTTGGGAAGCAGAAACGCAGAGAGATTCGTTTTCAGGCTGGCTAAGGCCCGACACCGGTACTCAAGGCATTGATGTGTTGCAGAGTGTAAAAGGCAGCGACGATGATTCTGAGGAAGCCAGTCAAAGTCAAAAGAGGTAGGAAGAGCACTTCGGAGAGCTTCGGAGCGAGGCATTCTTTCACATCATCGGATCGACTGACGGCCCAGCCCACCGATTAACTGACCGACCAACAGAGCGGAGAACCAGGGTCAACCGTCGTTGGACAAAGTCTAACGCATGGCTCTCTAGCGTGTGAGAGTAATGCCGAGAGTGAACGTACGCAGGAGACACAGACGGCTCGCGCAAGGCGAGTGCGAATGCCGGCGCGGAGAGCGGTCAACGTCGGTCCAACGTCGGTCCAATGTCGGTCCAACGTAACGATTGACCCTGCGGAGAACCCATGAAACGGCCGGCAGGTTTTTTGACCCATCGACCGACCGACCGACCGACCGACCGACCGACCGACCGACCGACCGACCGACCGACCGACCGACCGACCGACCGACCGACCGACCGACCGACCGACCGACCGACCGACCGACCGACGTTGCTACATTGAACATCATTAAATATTTACATTACCTTTTGGAGCTCGTCAAGATGATAAGAAGGTTCGCCGTGCGGATGGATGTATCGCAAATTAAGATAGATGACTGAAGTGCAGCGTGGAAGCGCCATAACCTTCTCATCCATGGCCACGGAGAGATGAAGACCGATCACGGTCATATCAGGAAGTGATTCCTATTGATATTCACTTCCTCATTCAATCTCGCCCGTACAGCTAATTTTTAGGAGCTTCGTAAGCAGATGGACTCTTCCCAAGACTGTGATCTGGATGTCGCATATTCCCAAATGACAACGATGGTAACCTCTCTATAGAGATTCCAAAGAACGGCCATGACAACAACACATGAAAACATTTCTAATGACGAATCTTATATTTGGCAACTTCACAGTTTTACGGTTATCTTAAATATGTCCATAGTTTAACTGCCAAGTTTTTTGGCAGATCTGAAAGCTCTAGAAATAGTCCATAGTAGGCGAATAAACCACTTTAACACTTCGTGTTCTTTCTGTTCCAAAGTTCCGAAGAACAAAATTATCGAAGAATTACTAAATGCTCATAGTCACTACTTCGCCATGCAGTCTTTCCATTGTCAGGATTTGATAAGACGTCCGTGTGCGCGCGAGAAGCAGAGACGCATGGGTTTAGTTAGCAAGTCGTCGCCTCAATTTAAATTAGAATGCACTATAATACCTCTCACCACCACACAAAACGAGTGCACCCATCGCCGACTCGTCCTGCGTCTCTGCCTTTTCGGCACGCGCGAAGGGCCTCCTGTTGGGTACCCGTGCGTTGCCACTCGATTTTGCCGAGGAAAGTGAAAGATTGTGGTTAATGGTCGATTCCGTTGTCCCTACTCTGGAAAATCTACTATCCTCCACCCTTTAGAGGGGACTCCTCCTAACTATAAGATCACCACCCCGATCCATGCTTCCACCATTGGATTCTACAACCAGTCCAACCCCGCCACATTTTACTCCAAAACGGTAGTCAAGCTGAGGAGGCGTCGTCAATGAAGCCCGTCAGTGATTCCCTCTCTCGCATCCTCGACACTTTCAATCTTCAGAAAAAAGTACCTTTGTCCAACCTTCTACCTTGGCTGACCTAACTACAACCCCTTCTAGTGATTCAGATACACCCCCCGTCCCCCTCCTCCGTTGAGAAACTGCCAGTTGTACGATTGATCTTAGTGTGGTCTCAGCTGTCATATCGTTATTTACTTCAGCTCACTATAATTTTCCGATAAACAATCATCGCAGAACAGTCGTCTCATACGAGCAGCTTTGCTTCAACCACGCCGTGTGAGTAATGTTACTTTGAAGTGAGTTGCTGAATTTCGAAAAAAGCTGATTTGATCTCCATGGTAGGGAAATAGATTTTTCTAGCATTAGCCATTAGTGTTTGCTATGAGGCCGCTTTTGTTAGCCGTTTGCGACCTATCACATATCCATAAGTTCTAACGAAGCATGGATGCTCCCGCACGATGGTCCGTTCGCACATTGGAACGAGGCGAGTCTTATTTGCGTAACTCGAAAGGCGGTCGCTTCCTGAATGGGGAGGTTGTTTTTGCGGGTGCTTGGTTGATTGGAAAAAAGTTTTGTGAAGCGAGGATGAAAACGACTGGTGTTGCAAAAACTAAGGACGAAGTGGATTCAAATTGGCAATGACTCATCAATATCCTAACTGGAACTGGCAATGAAACTCCGTCGAGCAGCGATGCTAGGGGTCTTGCAATGGCTGCACAACAAAGTGGGTCTAATGTATCATGCGGACCGCTTTAATTGCGGAGCCAAAGGGACTGGCCGCAGAACGATGGGGTTATTATAAGCACAGGATAAGAGGAGTTACTGACAAGGGATAAGTTATTAGGAGTTTTAGAGGTGCGTTTCGATACAGCAGTCTCGAGGCAGCATTGCATTACTTCAAAGCGAGAGAAAATTCACTGGGAAACTGGAAGAAGGAAGGGTGTTACGAGTGTGGTCCTGCGAATTTGGTGTGTGCTCATTAGCACTGTTTTATCGCCCCCCATGGGGGAGCAAACCCACAGCGCACTGTGCCACAGAGCGGAGGAGATTGGTCGGGATCACGAACACCGCCGACCGGGCAGGCGGTTGCTACGCGTCACAAAAGGCAAAAATGGGGCCACCTGCAGCACGGTGTTCTGCAGTCGCAAAAACATTACCAGCATTAGAAGGGCACGTGCATCCAGCTTGAACAGTTGCACGGTGATCGCAGTACGGATAGCCCCTGCTAGCTGACAGCAGTGCAGTGTGCCTTGGGTTGAAACCGACGAATTCAGCGCGGAACATGTGGTGAAGGTGAGCGAGGACATATTGAAAATAGACCACCAATGAGAGAACGGGTGCTCTTATTCATGTTTCAGAGCAAATTGGGTGGGTAGTGATGTCTGGACTTTAACACACAATAGGAGATAGTAAGATGTATTGCCACCAGGCATGTCAAAAATTATTGTTTGATAGTCCATTCGACATGGTGTGGGCAGGGTTCAACCTAACGTTGCTTACGAGTAACAACGGGGGGGTCGTACCTGTTGAGTTGTAGAGGGGTGTCGTACCCGCTTTGGGTAGTTCGCTCGTAAATCACGTGTATCGGGAGTGAGGAAGAAACTGAGAATCCGTGCCGGTAGTAGAGTGTGCGAGTAGAGGCGCGCAAGATAAAAATTTGCCGTTTCAGCCGGCGTATAACCCCCCCTAGGAA